CAGCCCTAGGAAGCTGGGTCTTCACCCTGGAACCTCTGCTTCTTCCCCCTGGGAACTCCCAGCCTTCCCTGGCTTCTTCCTCACTGCGCCTTTTCCCTGGAGCTGGCATTGTCTAGGGCAGTATGCAAATGAGTACAGAAGCCGGGAAACCTCAGATGCCCAGGGACCCCCGAGGTGGGGGCAGCACCTTTTCGCTGGGGCCAGCCTGGGTCTGTGTAATAGCCTCCCTGCTTACTGTGCCCACTAGTTGCTTGGCCTCTGCCGTCAGGTTGGTAGACTCCCTGAGAACATGTGCTGTATGCCAGGCCCTGGGCTAGGCTCCAGGGAAGGGGCCAGAAGTGAGGTGGGCAGCAGTCTGACAGACCTGGGCTGCACCCACTTGCTGCTTGTGTGACCCGTACAAATAGCCTCCCGTGGGCTCAGCTTACCCAGGTGTGGAAAAGGGCTGCTTTTCTCTCCTGTGAAGAGTGGAGGCAACTCAGGAGGAGGGCCTGGCCCAGGGGAACAAAGGTCATTTCCCCTCCTTGTGAGGATGGAGGATGGGAAGGAGGAGATGCCTAGCTGCCCTCACTGCCTCCCACTGCGGGCACTGCCCTACTTCAGCCCCAGTTGCCAGGGAACCGCTGGGCTCCTTGCTAACCTGGATTTCTCTATTGATGGGTGGCCTTTGTCTTCCTGCCTCGGTGCAGCCACTGCTGAGGGGGCTGAGGGGACCGTCTCCAGCTGTGTTTCCAGGCAGCCCTACCCTCTGGAAGCTGCAGGGTGGTCTTCAGGCCCTAAAGCTGCTGCTGGGAAACAAATACCTGCCTCCCTGCTCTGCCTCCTGCCTCTAGCTCCCCAGTCCAGCTTCACTTGGCAGGGAGCCCTCTGAGACACAGGTGTCAGTTCCTGCCCCTCCCCTGAGAACCCTTCCAGGATCCTGTAGGCCCTGGGGGAAGTGCAAACTTCTCAGCTTGCAACCGGCTTGGTGTGGCCTGGGTACTGCCCACCCCTTTCCAGACCCCTCTCCCTTCCTACACCCTCCCACCTCCCAGATTCTCACTATGGCCAACTGGGTACCTCCTGTGTATCAGACTCTGTGCCAAGCATTATACATAAATATAAGAGAATCTCATTTATACCTTACACCTGCCTAGTAGTGTTTGCTGTTCCCCCCTCCACAATTTACACATAAGGAAACTGAGGCACAGCACATGCTTATTGAGAGCTTACTTTGTGCCAGGTCTTGTGCTGAGTGTTTTATGTGAATTCCCTCTGCGTAGTGGGGGTGGGGTGGGGGGGCAGAGCCATAGATCCAGTGAAGAGTGAACAAGGTAGGCTGGTTCTCTCCAAGTGAGCCCAGGGGTTCAGATCCAGGTTCAAACCCCCACCTCACCCCAGCCTCTGGGCTCCTAAACCATCAGCCTGTTCCCTGGCCCTCCCAACCTTGGCAAAAGCTGGACTCTCTCCTGAAAGTACCTTTCCTAACCCCTGCCCCCCACCTCCTAAGTTCAGCACCTACTCTGCTCATACCAGGGCCAGGCCCTGTGCTGGACACTGGGCAGGAGGACAGCTGTCAGAGGGGAAGGGGCTGGGTAAACAGGATGGTCACACACAGGATGGTTAATGCAGAAAGGGAGGTGGTGGAGGGGCTTCCAGGAGGAAGTGACTTTGAGCTGAGAAGAGTAGGTGTTGGCCTGGTGATGGGGGAGTTTCTGAGCAGAAGAAACAGCAAATCCCAATGCTGGGGTGAGAGAGGCACGTGGGGGGACAGAAAGCTCAGAGCAGCTGGAGTGGGGTGGGGGTGGGGGACAGATCTTGGAGACAAGACACCTAGGCTGCAGGTGGGGCTGAACTGGAGGCCAGGGAGGTAGGTGGCCATGGGCTGGGCATGTGGCCAGGAGACCTTCAGGATTTGGTGGCTGTGTCAAGGAGGCTAGGGTGAGGCTGGAGAGTGGCTGGGTGCCGACCATGACCCCACTGCTTCAGTTCTGGGAAAGGGGAAGCTGCGGGGGCCTGGGTGGTGGCACAGCTTCCTCTTTCTCTGTGGCCTCCAGGGCTGCACCTCCCTGCTGCTCCTTGGCCTCGGGGCCTCATGGGTCCTCAGCTGGCTTTTTAGTTGGCTTTCTTCCAGGGAATTTCTGGTTCTAATTGTTTGGGTATTTTTTGGAGGGTAGGAGTGGGCTGAGTGTGAGGAAGCCCCTACTACCGTGAGCCTGTTTGGTGGAGGCCTCCTGCCCCAGACGTGGGCTGGGTTTGTGGTGAATGAGACAGCGGCCCTGCCCCTGCTGCTGTCTGGGTGGGGGGCGAACAATAAACAAGCGTACAAATGCTTAATTACCTGCCTGGGCAGGAGGTGCAGCAGGAAAGAGAGGTGATGGGGAGGAACTCCCACGACCTACTTTAGATTCCTTACCTCATTTAAACCTCACAAGAGCCTACCCTGGGAGATGATTGCCCATGTTGCAGATGAGGACGCGGAGACTCTGAGGTGAAGTAGGGGCTTGGGTCCCACGGAGAGTTGGTGGGGCCCCAGGCTAGGAGGCTCTGTTTAGAGAGGAGTGGCCTCTAAGCTCACTTCCTTCTCTGCCCCTGGGGCCCCACGGGGCTCTGCTCTGCCAGGAGCACCCAGCAGGAGAGGAGGCTCCAGGCTGTGGGCACTGCCCTTCTCAGGGCCTTGGTCTGTCCAGTTGCCCCCTCTAGGAAGTCCTGGGGGGGGGGGGAGGGTGCTGGCTTTGAGAAGTCACTGACTGCTTGGCCTCCAGGACAAGGCAGAGGGGTGGGGATGGAGCCTTCTCAGACCTCCACCCAGCCAAGGGGCTTCAGTCTGAACTTGCTTTCTGATGGAGGTTCCAGGGCTCAGGGCTTAGATGCTGGAGTCCCGGTGGGGAAGGGGGTGCAGAGGAGGAGGCAGCTGGCTGGCAGCTGCCTGACTGGGCAGGCCCATGGGGCTCAGTCTGAGCTGAGTGTGGGCCCGGGGAGCCGCTGTAAGCAGAGACTTGGGGGCTAGACTGGAGTAAGTGCCGGGTTGGGGTAATTAGATGGTGCATAATTAGAAGGCGGCAGGGCTCTAAGCAGTGAGTGTCTGTGAATGTGCCTAAGTGGGTCCTCACTGGCTTTGAGTCTGGGCCTTTGGACCCCCATTTTGCTCCTGGCAGCCTCAAGGTCTCGCTCCCCACCTGTCTGGAGATGAGCAGCTGCACAGCCCTCCCTGTGGGCTCAGGTCACCCAGCAGGTGCCAGTTGGGGCCAGGGGTGGGGCAGGGGCCCTCTCTTCTGTGGCTCTTGTGCCTTTGACATTTCACTTCTGCCCAGCCCTCTGGGCCCACCCTGGGCACCTGGAGGGGTGCTGGGTCTGGCAACCCGGCAGGCCTTTTGGACCAGCCTGAGGACTGGTAGGCAGGTCTGTGGGTTAGATCCTATGATAACGGGGGAGGGGGCTGTGGGGAGCTTGAGTGGGAGCTGCCCAGGCAGGGTGAGGTTTCACTTTGGGGCAGAAAGTAGAAAGGAAGACTTGTGATCAAGTTAGAGGAGGGGCCTGTGGGGGAAGGGGTTAGGAGATGTCACCTGTTGAGTGCTGGCTGCCAGGGTGCAGCCTTCACTCTACTCTGGCCTGACAGACAGTCTGTCCCAGGTTTTCCCCTGAGCTGGCCTTGGGCCCAGAGCCACTGCCAGTGACCTGGAGAGTCCCGTGGTGTGACTGCTGCCCCTCCCCCTCTGGAGGTGTAACTCAAGCCCCTGGCCTGCTGAGGCCTGTGCTGGGCCAGGCCATCCAGCGAGGCCAGATCATTTTCCTCTGGCTCCTTTTCTAAATGGGAAGCCGAGCCACCCATAGGCTGAGGGGCTGTCCCAGGGGCTTGGCATCAGACAGCTTGGGTCTCCGGGCAGGGTTCCCTCAACCTGCTGGGGACCCAGGCCAGTGACTCGGCTCTCCAATGCAATGCCACCTCTCAGGGTTCAGAGGCTCCACAGCCTGTGGCTTTGGCCAGACAAATATTGATTCCCTCACCCTCCTGAGCCTGGAAATATGTCACTGGGAACTCCTCGTTTTGCCACAATCCCTTTTGTTGTCTAATCCGATCTTTCTTTCTGCTGTTCCAGCCCTGTCCACTGGCTGGAGACTTTTCTCCAGAGGAGGCCACACTCTGAGCCTCTCAGACCCATGCCCATTGCATAGGGACACTTTATGTTGGCCACTGGACTACCCTGTGATGTGAGCTCCCTGAGGACAGGAGCACTGTCCATCTTGTTCATACTCATATTATTTCCTGTGCCTGGCACACAGTAGGTGCCCAAGAGAGGATAGGAGGCTGAATGCTGATCACCATGACCACCCCCGGGACCTCCCGCAGGTCTTCCCCTGGCCCTTTGTGCAGAAGTCAGCTGGGTGTGGACAGTGGGACACATGGGAGGGCCGGGGCTGTGATGGAGTTGGGGGGGCGGTACACACAGGAGTTTTGGGGGCCAAACCCAGCTTTGGGGACAGGTAGTCTAGAGAAGCTTCTGGAGAGAGAGGCACTGTATTGGGCTTTGAAGGGTGAGAGGAAGGGTCTTCCTTGAGCAGGAACAGTAAGTGAAGGCAGAGAGCAGGAAAGGTGGGCCTGCTCGGGGCCTGCAGGGAGTTCTGAGGGGCAGGAGCCTGCGCAATGGGGGCAGGGGCATTGCAAGCTGTTTCATCCCCCATTCCCAGGGATGCAGTCACAGGCTTCCTTCCTCCCAGGCTCCCCTGCCTGTGCCCCAGGGCACCTGGCTCTATATGGAAGGGGAAGGAAGCCCGACCTCCTCTGGGAAGCCTCCTAAGCCTGGCAGATCATTCTGCTCTCCTCTAGTCAGTGCTGCCCTGAGAGGCTGGTCCCAGACACGCACCCCCACCTCTCCACGGGCTTGAGGGCTGAAGGGGTGTGTGGTGAGTGTAGGTCAAGCCTCGCCCTGCCCAGCAGCACCTTTCGAATTCCCCGAGCATGGTGTCCTGGAAGCAGGCCTGTTCTCACCTCCTGCTGAGCCTCCCTCCATCTGCCCTAGGCTGGGGACCACAGGGCCTGAGGATGAAGCTGAGCCCTCCACCACGCTGGCCCTTGTCCTGCTTCCTTGTGGTGAGTTGGGGATGGGACTGTGGTGGGGACGCTGGAAGAGCCCAGCCCTGAGCCCTGGCCCTTCGAGGAATGTAAAGACTGTTGGTGAACCTGGCCGAGGTGGAGCTGGTCTCAGCCATTCCTGTGAGGCAGTCTGACCCTAGGAAGCGCCTCTTGGCCCTCACTGATCTTGGTGCTGGGAGCCAGGTCTGAGGCCTGAGGAGGTCCCCAGAGCCTTCTGTGTAACTGTTCCTCTGCCCTCAGGACAGCCGGCCTACTCTGCACCTGCCACCCCCAACAAAATCAGAGGACCAGGGGGTCTCCCCACAGCTGGGGGTTCAGGGCAGACAGTCATACGTTGAAAGGGAAGCAGAGGGAGGTCCCAGTGGAATGGGCTGTGGGCACAAACTGAGAAGAACCTTCCCGTGGGGTGTTTCACGACCTGTGTGGTACAGGAGTGTGAACGGCTGGGCTTGCGTCAAGGGGAGGTTGCGGAGGAGGATATGGTCCCAGAGACTCAGCTGAGGGCCCAGAAAAGGAAGCACCAGCTGCAGATTTGGCCCCAGGGATGATGAACAGAGGCTGATTGATGACAGGCCCAGCTGGGGGGGGGGGGGGGGGCAAGGCAGCAGGAAGCCAGACGGAACTTGAGAGGAATTCGGAAGCATTTCCCCTCATCCTGGAGGATGGAAGGGGTGTGACTCAGAGACCTAAGGGCTTGAGATCCTGATAAGGCCTTGTCCAGGTTTTCCAGCATTTTCCAGAAGCAGATGTGGTTTCTCCCTACCTAAAAAATGGCCCTGCAGCAGGTCTGGGATGAGCAGGATTTAGTGCAGCATGAGGGTGAGGTTAGAGTCGATCCCTGAAGCCTGGGGGTCGTCAATCCCCGCCCCTGGGGCATCAGGAAGTGGGTGGTGGATAGATAGCCCCAGAGACGCCATGGCCTAGTGCTTTTTGCTTAGGGTACCCTGCCTGCTGTTCTTCCAGCTGCTGCGCTGGCCTTTGGCTACGCCAACATCAACAACCCCTTGGCAGTGCCCACCCGGGGAGGAGCCCAGCCTGGTGAGCTCACCCTGCCCATCTGCCCTGCCCTGGGAAGGCTCTTGGGGGCCAGGGGCAGGCTTCCCAGGGACCTCAGGCCTGGCTCCTGGCTTCGTTCTCACCCTTTCCCTCCCACAGGACCCCGGGCAGGGCACATTATGCAGGTCCTGCCCCCCGGGCACCTTCTCATCCTCGTGGGGCTCTAGCCCATGCCAGTCCCACTCCCGCTGCAGCCTTCGAGGGAGGCTGGAGGCCCAGGCGGGCACAGTGACTCAAGACACACTATGTGGAGACTGCCAGCCTGGGTGAGCCACAGGTTGGAGTGTGGGGCTCATGCAAGGTGACCAGGACTCTGGATCCTGGGGCCCCAGCCTCACCTAGTCCCTGAGCGGGCCTCAGTCCTCCCATCTGAAATGGGATGGGTAAGGACCAGTTTGGGTGTCCAGTAGGAAGGAGTCCAGTCTCTTGTGAGGAAGATTCTGGGTCTCAGTGATGTCTTCCTCCCACAGGTGGTTTGCTCCGTCAGAGGTGCCCCATGTTCCCTGTCAGCCATGCTCCTGGACACCTCTAGGTCCTCACAGTTGTTATGGTGAGTAGCAGATGGGGCACAGGACTGGTGAGGTATGTGTGGGAGAGGGTCTGGCAAGCTTGAGCCCAGGAACCCCCAAAGTGTCCATCCAGGGCAATGGGGTCCTCATTCCCTCAGCTCATGGGAGGGTGAACAGCCAGGGGGTGTCCAGCAGGACGTGGTCAGTTCCACTGGCTATATGTCAGCCCACTTCACTTCTGAGTGGCAGAGACCATCCAGCAGGTAGCAGCCACAGTGGAGGGCTCACATTTTGACCTGTCTGTCCTCTATCCTCATCCCCTTAAAGACACCCATGCAGATGAGTGAGCACACATTCTTGTGCACACACACACATACACACGTACCTCCTCACACCTGTCGAGTTAACTGACTCATGGACCAGGTCATGGGGAGGCAGCTTCCAGTGTCCCTGTGCCCAGGCATGTGCACAGGTGCCTTCTGTTCACTCCTCTGACCCAGCATGAGGGGTGGACAGGGGATGAAGTTCTGATCATCCTGAGGCCTGAGAAGGCCTTGCTCAGGCTGACTGATCAGGTGGCCAAATAGGAGGGGCTGGGGGTGAGTTGGCCTTTGCTTCCCCAACATGGCAGGGAGTGGGCAGCTCTGGACACATCAGCCCCACGCACATATGTACACACGCTCACGCATGCATGCACACACGCACTCCCACACCCTAACTTGGGCCCTGGGCCTCTCTGTGTCTGATTCTCTCTGTCTCTGTCTTGCTTTCATGCCTCTATCCTCCGTGGTGCTCAGAACAGAGATGGCGGACCCGACGTGGTGTGGAGGTGGCAGCAGGGGCCAGCAGCACTGGGGAGACACGGCAGCCTGGGAACGGCACACGGGCAGGCAGCCCCGAGGAGACGGCTGCCCAGTACGCAGTTATTGCCATCGTGCCTGTCTTCTGCCTCATGGGGCTACTGGGCATCCTGGTCTGTAACCTGCTCAAGCGGAAGGGCTACCACTGCACAGCCCACAAGGAAGTTGGGCCTGGCCCTGGCGGTGGAGGCAGTGGTGAGGCCTGGTCTGGGGTTTTGGTGGGGAGGCCAGAGGGCACGGGCCAGCCCGAGGGAACCTGCTTGGCCTGGAGAGTCTGACAGGGAGAGGCCTGCAGAGGGCAAATTGGGAGGGTTTCCTGGAGGTGCTGCAGGTGGGCCATGGAGGAGACACTGCAAACTGACAAAATGGAAGGAAGGATGAGGTGGCCCGAGGTGGCCTAAGTTGGCAACGGGGCAGAGCACAGGCAGAGTGGGTTAAGTGGCTTTAGCGGGACTTCCACTCAGGCTATAGGGGTCTGGACTTTTCAGGGCTACAGTTGTGTGTGCGGTTCGAGGGTCAGACTGTCTGCTTGGTACTCAAAGTGACTTCTTTGTTTTTGTTTTGTTTTGTTTTTTATCCTCACCCGAGGACATTTTTCGATATTTTGTTCAGATAGAGTGAGAGGGAGAGAGAGAGAGAAACATTGATGTGAAGGGACACATCGAGTGGCTGCCACCCACACGACCCAACCAGGGCCGGGGACAAACTGCAACCAAAGTACGTGCCCTTAGCGGGAACCGAACCTGGGTCTCTCCGGACCGCAGGCCGACGCTCTAACCGCTGAGCCAAACCGGCCAGGGCTCAAAGTGACTTCTGACCTCTGGCCTGAAGGGCTGGAAGGGCAGCTGTCCTGGGCAGGTACCAGGAAAGGCTTAGATTTCCAGGCTATGGTTTGAGTTACGAATCCTGGAACCAAAGGGAGATATGTTCCTTCCGCCCCCACCCCAGGTCTCTGGGCCCCTTTTCTCCTCCCCACCCTCTTCTGTACCCTGAAGACCAGTAGGGCAGAGCCTACATGTACATATATTGCCCACAGGAGCTTTGTGGCCAAGTCAAGATTGAAATGATGCCTCCTGTGCCAGTGCCCCAGAGCCCTTCCCAAGTCCTGACACTGAAGTCTGGAGGGGCAGGAAGCGGGCAGGAGCTGTAGGCAGGCAGGAAGGTGGTAACTCAGGCCATCTCGCCAGGGACCGCCCTTGTTTTCCTACCCTAGGACTAACTTTAACTGCTGGCTGCTGCCTGGGTACAAGTCCTCGGAGCTATTTGCTGCTGACCCAGGATTGATCACATGCCCATTTTCATTTTTTTTTGAGATTGGGCCCTAAACCAGCCAAGAGCCCTCAATTTGTTACATAGACAGGGCGATGTGTAGGGAGGTAATGGGCTTGGAATTGGCAGTTTGCAGGAGTTGTTGGTTGAGGATGGGAGAGGGTAGGTCCCAAAAGAGGCTGTTTCTTACCCCACACTCTCTCTGCAGGGACTGTGGAATCCAGATGGCCCTGACACTGCTAAATTCTCGGGGCTTTTGGATGCAGGGAGCAGTGATGCTGAGTAGCGAGGGTGATAATGGGCTTCTCAGTGCTGCAGCTTGGAACAGATTTATAAATAACCAGGCTTGTATCCCAACTCCTAGGCAGGCTTGGTGCGCCCTCTGCTGCCACATCCTGGTGTAGCTCCAGAGTCTGGAGTTCCACCCTCCTCCCCTCTCCCCCTCAACAATCACAGTCCTTCCCTTCTGATCCCAGGGAACAACCCTGCCTACTGGGCTGAGGACGCCACTGAGGAGGACACCATCGGGGTCCTGGTGCGCCTGATCACAGAGAAGAAAGGTGAGGGGAGCTCTGACCTAACCCTGTGCCCAGGAAAAGAGGGTCTCCTCTCAGAGCCTGTGAGGCAGCCTCAGGTGTCGTTCCCCCTGCTGCCCCTCACACCGGCTCACCAGGCCAGCCTGGCCCTCTTTGACCAGCATGGTTCAGATGGTGCTGCCCCTTTCCCTTCTGTTTGTGCCTGACTGGGGAGGTTGGGGTGGGTGAAGGAAAAGGCACGTGGTCCAGGCCCGGAGTAGGTGGCAGGTAGTTGGGAGGAGGCGCTGAGACAGGGAGTTCCTGGGGAGTGCCCCTCATGGCCCAGAGCCTGGTTCTGACTTCAGCTGCCCACAGAGAATGCAGCGGCCCTGGAGGAGCTGCTGAAGGAGCATCACAGCAAACAGCTGGTACGAACCAGCCACGGGCCTGTACCCAGGTGAGTGGGCAGGTGGGCAAGGAGGGCCCATACCCAGCTAATTCAGCCCATTTCCTGGGGACTCACCACTTGGGTATGCTCCCTCTCCTGTCACCCCAATGCCCTTTCACTACCTTCTGTAGTCTCCTAGTCCTGGCCTGCCCTAGTGACCTCTGCCACCTGTGCTGTCCATAGGCTGCCACCTGGACCCCCCAGCATGCCGCACATCTGTCCACATCACCACCACCTCCACACTGTGCAGGGCCTGGCCTCGCTGTCTGGCCCCTGCTGCTCCCGTTGTAGCCAGAAGAAGTGGCCTGAGGTACTGCTGTCCCCTGAAGCTGCAGCTGCCACCACTCCCACTCCCAGACTCCTGTCCAACCCAGCCAGGGCTCCCAAGGCTGGAGCCAAGGCAGGACGCCAGGGCGAGATCACCATCTTGTCGGTGGGCAGGTAAGGTGGGCAGAGACACAGCAGTGCCAGGAAGAGACAAGACAGCTGGGGTGGCGGGGTGAGGAGGCAGGGCCCTAGGTTGAGCTCCACCCTTCCTGGCCTCAGTGTGCCTCTCTGGGCAGTGGGGTGACCAGGGAGAAGTCTGGTCTGCTCGGCTTTGCTCTCACATGGAGTCCTTTGGCTTCCAGGGTAGGACCCTGGCCACTTATCACACCTGGGGCCCCTCAGGCCAAGGGCTTATTTGCAACCTAAGGTTGGGGAGTTGGGGGCTCATCTGTGGGTAAAAGGGCATGGGAAGGTCTCAGGCTGACCCATAGACCTGCTGTGTGACCCTGGCAGGTGCTGCCTTCTGTATTTCTGGGGTTCTTCTTTCAATAGGGGAATGACTGCACCTCTTCTCACAGGTTCCGCGTGGCCCGGATTCCTGAGCAGCGGACAAGTTCATTGGCCTCTGAGTTGAAGACCATCACAGAGGCTGAGCCCTCAGTGGGTGATTTCACTGACTCCCCACAACCTGGGCTTCCCACTGAACAGCAGACACTACTGGGAAGTAATGGAAGCCATACTAAGTGGCCAAAGCCCCCAGCAGAGAAGAAGGCTGAGGTGAGGGCCAGAGAGGGAAGGTGCCTGCCCTGACTGCAGATGGGGCAAGGGTGGAGGTGCACGGGGCCTTGGGCAGAGGCCACTTTCCTGGAGCCCAGAAGCCCCCTGACCCAGGCTGACCACCCATGCCTGTGCCCTAGGAGAATCGCTATGTGGTCCGGCTAAGTGAGAGCAACCTGGTCATCTGAGAGGCTGTCTTGTTGGAGGACACTGCAGGCCTGTCCTGGGAAGTTCTGAAGGCTTCCTGGAGGAGGCAGAGCTGCAACTGAGCCCACAAGGATCAAGAAGCAATGACCCAGCAGACAACACAGCAAAGGCTAAGGCCTGGAGGTGGGAGTGTCTGCCCCAGTGAGGAGGCAGGCCACAGGCGCCATGTACAAGAGCAAGTTGAAAGTCCCACCCTGTTCCTGCCACCCAGTTTCTTCCCTGCAGGATGCCCCCGTGCCCTGGTCAGATCCCAGGAGCCCACAGGATCCTCTGTACCACCAGGAGGCTAGTCCTTAATGGTGGGGAGGGGCCCTCTGCTTGGCACCCCTGGCCCCACATCTTGGTAATTAGTCACCTCCTGTCTCTGTGCAGGGCCCTGGAGCAGATGTACCTCCCTTTGTCTTCTGGCAGGACCTGTAAGGAGAAAGGGCAACACAATGCCATGGGCTGGGAGTCTGAGTTCCTGGGTTCTAATCCCAGGCAAGTCCCTGGCCATCACTGGGTCCTAAGTTTTCTGACTGAAGTCTCAGTGCCCAGGGCCTCTCCAGCTCCCTGCAGGCCCTGGGCTGGGTCGTGGTGGGTGCTTGCCTCCTTGCCACCCCTCCCACCAGATTTTTTTCTGGCCCCATGTTTGCTGCTTCCAGGGCCTTCACTTTCCAGGCCCCCATGGGGCTGCCCATCTATGGCTCTGCCTACAAAAGGAACTTAATGCATGTGCCTCCCCCTCCCGTGTTTTTTTTTGTTTGTTTTTTTGTTTTTCAATTGAAAAAACAGACCTGACCTGGGTGAGGCTCAGCCACCCCCAAGATATCAGGGGCTTTTGGGGAGGGGTGTGATAGGCTAGAGAGGCATCTCTGACCTAGGTGGTTTGTATCCCTGTGGTGTTAGTGCCTCTGTCCCCTAGTGTGGGCAGTGCGGGCAACTGCCCAGCCTGTCTCCACCCTGGCTCAGCAACTTGGTTATTTATGTGGGGCCGTGCAGGCATGGGCCCCACTGTTGTCCCCATTTCTTATTTATTGACACTTTGCTGTTGTCTTGTCCTTGTGTCTCCATCCCCATCCATTTGCTGAATAAAAGGTGGGATAGTTGTGTCATGAGGAACTTCTTTCCCCTGTGCCTCTCCCCAGGTCGTCTGTCCGTTCGCTGAATAGCTCTGTTAGGCACTGAGTGGCACAGGCCATCCTTCCCCTCCAGGTGCCTTCTCTGTGGCAGCAGGTGAAGTGGGGCCAGTTCTCACTGAAGCCCCTAGAGGCAGTGCTATCCAGTGGAATACAGCTTGTGCCGTGTATGTAATTAACATTCTTCTAACAGCCACATTTTAAAGTAAAAAGAAACAGGTGAAGTTAAATTTAATGATATCAATAATGTAGTCTGTTTAACGCAGTATATATCTAAAATATTTTCATTTCAATACATCATCAGTATAAAAATGTGATTGAGCCATTAATATTTTTTGCTTTGAACCCTGGCGTTTTACATTTAAACTACATCTTATTATGAACTAGCATATTTCCAAGGCTTGATAGCCACTTTTCAGTGGCTAGTGGCTCCTGTGTTGGACAGCACAGCTCTAGAGGAAGTGGAGCCTGGAATATGGATGTGGTAAGTAATACACTGGGGGCTGAAGAATGTGGAAGGGGAGCATGTTCCACAGAGAGATAAAAGCATATGTAAAGGCCATCCATCAACAGAAATATGAGTTTGGAGAGGCTGGAAGTAGAACCCTCTTTACAGGTGGAGACTGGGTTAGGAGTGGGCATTAGAAGGCAGCCATGTGGGTTCTTGGAAGTCATCAGCCTTACCCCAGGGACCCTGAGGAGTTTCTAAAGCATGTAGGAAGGGAAAGCATGGTTAGCTTGTTCTTGGTGGGTGGAGACCAGGCTGCATGGTTGTCATAGAAACAGATCAAATAGATTCCTAGGACAGAACCGCCAGGGCTTGGTGATATGTTGTAGGTCAAAGGATTAGGGACAGCTGGGACAGCTGGGTGGGTAAAGAGGAGCAGTCCTGGGGCACGTGTGTATCTAGATATGAAGGCCTGGCACTCAAAAGACAGGTCTGGGCTACAAAGATATCTGGGCATTTCTACCAGTACTGGACTGGGAGGGAACATGTTCCAGCGAGAGAGCTCAGGGCAGATCCCTGGGCTGCTCCAGGACACTGGCAAGGAGGTTGGGAAGGAAAGCAGGGGAGTGCAGTATCCTGGAAGTCAGGGAAGGAGAATGTGGGGAGCACAGTGGGTCACAAGGTCAGGTGCTGCTGCTGCAGGGTTAGGAAAAATGCAGTCCCATGGTTAGATACAGGGTGGCAGGTGTCATTGCAAGGCAGTGCTGAGAGCAGAGCCAAGTCTCAGTGGGTTGAGCTCCCTGCAGAAGCCTGACTGTGCCAGGCCATACATAGCTGGTGAAAACTTAGATTCCAGGTAGAGGGTTTTCAGTTTAATTCTGGGTTCTTCTGGTGTTTGGTGTTTTTTTAAGATGGAAGAAGGGGCATGGCCGGTGTGGTTCACTGATTGAGCACTGACTGACCCACACACCAAGAAGTTGTTGGTTGATTCCCAGTCAGGGTATGTGCCAAGGTTGTGGGCCCGATCCCCAGTAGGGAGCGTGCAGGAGGCAGTCAATCGATGTTGCTCTCCCCCTTTCCTCTCTCTCAAATCAATAAAGTAAAAGAAACATATTTTTAAAAAAAGATGGAAGGGGATACATTTAAAAGCTAAGAGGAAAGTGGCCCAAGGAGAGAATGACACACAAGTGATGCTAGATAGAGGTGTGCAAAGGGACTCCTGTGGGAGGCCCAGGCCTTGCAGCTAGAGGCCGGATGTCATGATGGGACCGCAGGAGGCCTTTCGACTGGGCAGAAACCATGCAGGCGCCTGGCCTAGCAGCTCCAGCGAAAGCTCTGCCCTGAAGGGAGGCTGGGCAAACATGTCTTCAGATTCCAGCTCTCCCTACCTCTCCTTTCTATACCACAGGGCTTTTCTCTGGGGCTTCTCAGGTGGGCAGAAAAAGAAGGGCACTTAGAGGAGCCAGGAGACAAAGCTTTACCTGCTCCCGAGAGGGGAAGGTAGGAGACAGAGGGGCTGGACAAGAGGAATTTTCTGGAGCACCAGAGGTTGTCACAGTCTAGAACAGGGTGTCGGTTGTGAAGGACAAGCAGGCATCAGTGAACCCAAGGCAACGTTCCCTGGGGCTGCCAGGGTGCACTTGGTGTCTTATTTGCCAGCTGTCAGCTGCATCTCAGGGTTTGGCTTCTCAGCGTCTCCTCAGCCAACCAACTCCATTTTATCTAGGACTTAGATGACACACTGGGGTGAGGATGAGACAGTGTCCTCATGCCTGGGGAGAGGCACATACAGATACCAGCGAGGGTGAAGACTGGGAATGGGCTTCCCAGGCCAAGTAAGGGGCAGACACCCCTACCTCAGTGCCAGGACCTGGGGTAATAAACACCGCTCTCCCCAATTTTCTGCTTGCTAGAAGGTAAGAAAGGTATGGCCCTGGCCAGTTTCTTTACCTGTCCTTTGAGGATGTTGAGGGGTCAAGGTAGAAATGCATTTGATGCTCCTGGCCTTCAGAACCCCCATCCTCACCTAGAAGCTCTCCTGGCTTGTACCCTCCCAGGCTTGCCCCCTCTAAATCCTGGCAGGCTTGTCAGCTGTTGAGCTCAAGATCAGCTCAGGCCGCTGGCAGGGATGGGAACTGGAGGACAGGGTGGGCCCCTGGGCTATTTATTCCACCCACACCCTTTCCTGCACAGGTCAGAATGGTGGGTGCTGGGGCCGTTCTCTGCCTCCCTGCCTGCTCCTGGCCCTCAGCCCTGCCACTGTAACCTGGAGCCAAGTTCCTGGGGGAAAAAACCCTTCCTGCCCTGGAGAACTGCTGTGACATAACCTGACACTGCCTGTGGGCAGAGGCACCCTCCCCTCCAACACCTGACTGAGCTTTCCATTGCAAGGGAGAAAGAGTTTCATGACAGGTGAGCACAGCTGGGAAAACTGGGGAGGGGGCTATGGAGGCACGGAGTACAGTGGGTTGGTGGAAAGGGTTGAAATTAGGAGTCCGAGTTATAATTACAGCTCTAGTGTGAGCAAGGTCACCTGGCCAATTTGGGCCTGTTTTCTCTCCAGTAGAGGAGACTGAGCACTTGTAGGCTGGGAGAGCAGAGACTGTGGGGCCAGGCCCTGAAAGGAAATGGTGGTCACAATTATCAGCGAGAGAAGCCCTGACCTGGACTAGGGCAGTAGCTTTGTCCAGAGGGGAGACAAGAGTGATATGTTTAGGATGTAAAACTGTCAACACTTGATGAACATTTGGATGGAGACCATATAACTTCCTTGGTTTCCCACCTTAAATCGTCTCCTCTGGGGTGGGTGGAAGAACGTGCGGCTTGGTGCCTGGAATTTGGAGACAGACCAAGTGTGAATTCCAACTCTGTCCCCTCTCCAGCTCTGTAACCTCAGTCCAAGTACTTACTCTCCTTAGCTGTCCCTTCCTGAGGACAGGCCTAACAACAGGCTCACTTCCCATCGTGCTGTGAGGATTCTGAGAGTTACCAAGCATAACCTGTGGCACCAGCCACACATGGTGGGCACATGGTAGACGTCAGCCTTCTTCCTTCATGGCTTCCCTGTGCTTGTACCACACACCTTTGTCCAGGTGCTGATGGCCACTGCTCAGGCTCCTCCACCATGTATCTCAGGGCAGCCCCTCTGCCTGCTGGGAGATGCAGCAGAGGTGTTGACTAGCGAGAACAAGCTCAGAACCAACTTGGGAAGCAGCCCAGGGGACTCACTGGCCCAGGAGGTGGTCTGTGTCCCTCTGCCCCAAGAACCACCAACCTGGTCACCCCAGACTTTTTTTTTTTTTTTTTTGGAAACTTTTTTTTTTTTTAATCGTTATTGAATGTTCTACAGCTTACAGTAAATATCATAGTTACAAATTCTTGGCTTCAATCTTTCAGAATGATCACTATCTGATCTTCAAAACAAAACGAAACAAAAACCCAAAAGAATCCAAAACAACAAAACAAAACCAGATGTACACTTCATATACACAAGCGAGGCCATGGGCTTTCCAATCTTTGCACTCCAGGCTGTGTTTTGAAAACACCTGTAAGTTCTTTGATCAAACTACTTGGAAGACACTGGTCAAAGGTTTATTATTATTATTTTAAATGTTTTTTTTTTCCTTTTAAAATGTGAATTCCAATAAAATTTAAAAATTAGATTCCAACCTGTAGATTAAAATGAATTAAAAAATACAAAATCATATACAACACTCACAGGGATGTTACATGCCATGAGAACAGGTGATATGAAACAGGAGATGGGGACAGGCCCCTGGGCCTTTAAAGGTCGTTACAGACAACTCCAAGTTGTAGAGGCCTGGTCTTACCTCCCCTTGATAAGGAGAAGTTTGAGTACCCCCCGCCCAGATCCAGACAGTCTGGCTGACCCAAGGTGGTCGTCTCTGGGCAGCCCTTCTTTCCAGTTCTCAGGCTTGAGGAGGAAGGCGGGAGCCTGGAGATGGTGGTCTTGCTGGGGTCAGGCTCAAAGGTGATTTCACCCATTTGACTCTCATGGGCTGGTACTTATCTGCAAAGCTGTTATATTTATTCTCTTCGGGAAGGAAAATGCCCCTCTACCAGGAGCTGGAATGGGTATAGGGTCTCACTGCCACGCCAGGAGCCTAGGGACTATGGATGCAGCCATAGGAAAGCAAGAGTTCAAGTTTCCCTCTCAGGTTTTGTGACAGCCAGTCCTAACTCCTATGTTTCTCACTTCGCCGCTGGGCTGGACTCAACAGCATGCAAGATAGAAAACACCCATTGAAGAAACTGAGTGGGACCCAAGTCTGGTTCAGGCAAGGTTGGCTATGGAATGTTGAAAATGGCCTGCCAGAAATTTTGAAGGCTGGGCCCTGGAACCATGTACGTCTAATTTAAAAAATGAGTTCTCTAGGAGAGGGGCATATAGACAGGTAAAGGACAAATCCTGCAGCCAGCCTGACACACCCATAGGAGCCCGAGCTCTCAGAGGCTCAGCTGTGGAGTCTGATGTGATGTTAGCATGGCTGTGTTTCCTCCATTGTGATCCCGCTTTCCGGTGGGTCAGGCTGGGATTACCCTAGGGCTACACAGCAGTCTGGAGCCTTCTTCCCGCCTGCCCACTCCACTGCCTGACCTAATCCCTCTGAGTTCCCAAGCTTTGTAAGCAGCTGAGCACCACGTACCCTATAGTGATGTGATACAATGCAGTATAGAAAAGCAGAGCTACCACATATTTTCAACTGCCATCGAGAAATGCCATGGTGACATCTAAATAATTACTCCAGTCAGAGTGTGGTGATGAAGACCCATGCCTTCTAGGCCCTCCCTCTCTGGCCATGGAGCAGAGCTGAGGAATCTGATATGCAGGGCTGCAGGCCTGGCTAAGCCAGTGCCTCGCTGAGACCAGCCGAGTCCTGTCTGCACAATGACACCAGAACCTGGTAACCAGGAGGCCTACCCTACTTTATGCCCCCATGAGTCACTTCTGAAGACCACGCAAGCCCCTCCAAAGAAGCACCCCCCACCCAGACCTCTAAAAGCGAGATACCATAAACTTGGAACAATTTGGGGGTGGCCAGAGGTAAGAGTTGGGATAAGCAGTAAGTCCCCACACCCATGGGGTAGACAGGCAGCCCATCCCTTCCTCATGCCTGCCATTCAGACCCAGCAGGTGCCAACAAAAAAAGCAGAGGATATGAAGAGTCAAATGTTGGCTCTTTCTTTTATGAGCTGTGACCTTTGGCAAGTCTCTTAAGCCTTCTGAGACTTAGTTTTAAAATGGGTATTTTGGCAATTAATATCAAAGTACTTTGTACATGAAAACACTCTGGACAGGTGTGTGTCCTTGTTCAATACTCAGGGAAGGGGAGAGAAAGAGAGAGGAGCAGCAGCAACAGTCCTGTCTCATGGGGAAGACATTTTTTTTAGTTTCAAAGTGTGGCAGATTGTTTCAGGCTCTCACCACTTGGGGGCACTCCAGCTTCCTAGGCCCCCAGGCTAATGAGAGAGAGTCAAACAGAAGTGGGGTGGGTAGTGAAGAGGGTTGGCTGGTGACTAGGACCACCTACATACCACTAATGCTGGCCAAGCTATGGAGCTGGTGGAGGCGGTGGAGAGGGGTTTATACACGGTGCCAGCACTACAGCTCCCTGTCATGTTGGCACACCCTGTCCTCTCTGGCTTGCTGGCCTTCCTACAATGACAGGGCCCTCCCAGCTCTGACCTCTGTCCAGCTCACTACTGGCCCATCCAGTATCTTTGGATGATGCCATGGTACCTCCTGAAAGACACCTGTGAGCCTACCAAAAGCACACTGCTGCCCCTGTTCTCCTGGCTCAATCTCTGCAATGACTCTAAGCCTGGCCAGGCTTGTGGATCTCCATCAAAGCAAGAGTTAGGCCAGCTGAACTGGGGCTCCAACGCTCATACAGTAAAAGAGGTGCTGGGCCTGGGCTCCTCCAGACCATAGCCTTTCTTGCCTAGTTTGTCTTGGGGCCTGTCTTTGATCTTGCTTACATACTAGGGCTAAGACAGGGTGCAGAGCACAGATGCTTCAGTCTGCAAGCCTATGTATGGTGTCAGACTGGAGGGAAAGAACAGCAGACAGACTCATGTGGCTCTGCCACTTATGAGCAAGTCACTTTGTTTTTCCAAGTTTCAGTTTCCTCATAAGTCAAATGGGAGGAATAATCTATTTCATAGGTGAAATCAGAGGATGAATGTGAAATTGCTTTGTGAACTACAAGGTACTAGATGTTAGTTTTTACTTATGGGTATTGAAAGAACAAAAGTAACAAGGTCATTCCTAAGTCTCCTCTTTTCCCATTTCTCTCTATGGTTCTACTCCAGCCCATCTGGACGCAGTAGGGTTCAGGAAGCCTTCAGAATACCAGCATGCTGCTCACTTTGGGCAAGTTCCCTTTCCTTCTAGACCCAGTTTCGTTTGTCAAGTGGGTATAATAACTGACCCTGTCTCTGTCTCAGAGCCAGTAAATTAGAGGCTGTGAAGTGCTCTGAAATCTATGAAGCACCTGGCAAATGTAAAGGTTTCCTATTATTGTTTTGGCATTTTCCAAATATGTATGACATAATCTAAAACAACCTTCACCCATCCTTATAAAACCAGAGAGTAGGTGGAGGTATTTGCAAAAAAATGGATTAACACTGGGAAACTTTGTTGTTTTAAAATGAAACTTCTTCAGCACTCCAGAACAGACCATTTAGAACAGCTGGGTTTCTCCTTACTGTCCTTCAGGTCCCTGGAAGGTCAAGAAGGTGGGCCCCCAAATCCTGGCTATGGGCTGAGGATGCTGATGGGCTCTGCCCTCCAAGGAATGGCCAGACAGCCTCTGAGGTCCTTCTGGCCCAAGGGTTCCTGGTTTTTTCCTCCTTTAGGGAATCATGGGAGGTAGGGGTAGGGATATGTCCAAGTTTACATGAATTTAAATTGAAAAAGTTATTTAAAAAACCCAAATGTTATCAAGAATCCCACTTTGTACAGTAAAATGTCCCTGCCCCCACCAGGGGCTGCTGACCCAACCAAATGCTAGGTGCAGGGGGGCAGTGCTGGACAACCACGCTCCTGGCTGACACTAGTGGGGCCTCCTGACCCAGGGAGACCCCCTCTTGCCCCAGGAGATCCCATGTCTCCTGGGCCTCATCCTCAACCTCCTCTTTCCTCTTAGGAGAAGGGACTACTATCCTAAAAGCACGGACTCTCCTTTTCAGACAGCCCACCTGCTCGTTCTCCTAGGGGTGGAGTCAGGTATAGGCCAAAAGTTCCAGATGTCTTCACAGAATTTCCAAATGCTATTTCTTCATTTGTAATTTCTGTTCCTGCCATCTGCCCCCATGTAACCTCTGCCCAGTCTTTCCCCTACCTTTGGAGTCCATGGAGGAAAAGAACAGAAACAAAAACCCAGACACTGTTCCAGAGCTCACCAGATGTGGGCACTGCTGACTTAATTTTTACAAAACCAAGCCAATCCATCCCTAGGTAAATTTTTGTGGGCAACATGCCCCTAGGTAGGAAGGCTGCATTTAATGCTAATTTACTGCAAGATCTAGGGAAGTCCTTTCTTCTTCTCCAGGCCTCAGCTCCCTCATCTGTCAAATAGGGGAATGGATGAGATGATTGCTAAGGTCCCTTCAGGTCCATGAGTCTATGAAATGTTTATTGCTATTGCTTTTCCTTCACTATTTTGACCTTCAGAGCTGCCAGCACCCATCTGGAATGTGGCTCCTTCACTTTGGCCATAAGTGGCAAAAGGTAACCAAAAGCCTGGCCTGCCTGCCAGCCCCATGGACAGATGGGTGAGCCCTGGCACTGGGAAGGGCAGAAGGAAAGGAGAGAAATGCCATAGGTTCCCACTCTAATCAGGGGGTGGCTCCTCATCAGAGTGGGTCCATGAGGGCTCAGAGGCCAAGGTCTTGATTACACAGGGCACATGGCCTTCCAAGGCTTTGGGAGGCTGGGATCCTACCACCCTGCAGCTGCTTGGCAGGTCTGAAGTCAAAGTCACCTTCAGAGGAAGTGCCAGGCCAGTTCACATTACTGTGCAAATCAGAGGGTCCAGGTCATCTGGCCAGAGACCTTACAAACCAAAGCCAACAGGCAAGCACATCTCCGTCTCCCCTCCCACAGTGCTCCCCTGACCCCCAAGTTCTCCCAAAGAAAGAATCTGGTTTTCCCAGGATCTCACCTGGGGTATTAAGCTGCTATGAACACTCCTACCTAATCAAGGGATTTTGTTCTTGGTCTGTTGCGATGGTTCTCAGAAGACATTTCATTTGTGTCAGGATACGGTAATGTCTTAACCTAATCTTGCTTGAGAAAAATAAAAAAGGAAACAATCCCCCAAAGATGTAGCCTTCTCAACAGCTCTGAGTTCCCACCCTGGACCCAAGGGCTACATCTGTTACACTCTTCAAAAGAAATCATGCCTTCAGCTGAACCACTGCAATAAACCCCACTCTCTACCTGCCACTAGACTGGGATCCCCGGGAAATGGATGCTTGGGGAAGGAAAGAAGAGCAGAGAGGAAGTGCCTGGTCAAGTAGGAGAGTGGGTAGAGCTGGAAGGGCAGTAGCTAAGAGGAGGATAGTGGGGAGAGGCAGGAGGTTAGAAAAAGCAGCTTTTACATAAACCAAAAATAAAAATCAAAACCGCTAAAGATGCATAAAGTGACCCTTGCACTTCCGTTGTCTCTTCTTGCAAATAGAGGTGGTGCTACTAGGGAACTGCTCCAGCACCTGTGTAAGACTTGAGTAGTTGCATACAATGTGTGACTCCAGATCTGGGGGAGGAAGGGGAAAGCCATTAGTGACAGTGATGCTTCAGGAAGCCAGTGGAGCCCCTCCCCTCACCTAGGGAGCCCTCTGTGCTTTCCTAGTGGAATGGCCAAGAGCCCCTGGAGGATGTGGTAGGAGGGGAGCTGACACCCCGAGCCCCTGTGGTTCACTGGCAATGCCTCAGGAGCTGCCAAGGGCAGTGGGGAAGTGGGTGGTGGGGCCTGGCCCCAGTCAGAGCCAACATCTATCTGACTGAGGTTAAGAATGGTACCCACAGTTAAAGGAAGTGTGAAGACCATACAGTAGAGAGCATAGAATTCAGTACTAGAGTACTGGAGTGCAAGTCCTGGCTTCACTTCTACTGGGTAAGTGATGCTGAACTAATGTATTTATCTGTGCAACAGAGCGGATGATCTTGATTTCACAGAGCTACTGTAAAGATCATGAGATAACATGTAAAGTACCTAGAATATATGTAAAGTGACAGCTATTATTACGAGTGATATTACTAAACTTAAGCATGAAAGCAAATGGTAATGGTCTCCTGCCTCGTTGACACCTGTGCTTCAGACCAAGCCAGGGATTCTGAAACAGTTTCAGTGTTTAGTCACCCTCCGCCCTCTCCCACCCTGGGCCCCACTCACTTGGATGGGCTGCAGGCTTTACCAGTGCGGCGGCACATAGCTGTACGCGGGGGTCCCTTGGGCCCTGTATGTTGGCATGGAGACAGGGTGTGCCCCAATCGCGGTGTGCTGGGGTGCAGTCAGCAGGGTACCTGAGAACCCAGAGAGAGAAGAGCAAAGCTGATGAGGCCACCCCGAGGTGCTGGGATGAAGAGGATGAAGCCATGGTCTTTCACACAGCTGCTCCCTACCTGGGCCCCACCTTTCTGCCAGCTCATGAACCGTCACCCGCCCTTCCCCACCTTGCCAGGTTTCATCTCCTTAGGGAAAGCTTTTCTGATGCTCCAGGACAGAGCCAACCACTCTTCTCCAGTGGCCTCCTTTCACTCTTCTTTGTATGCTCCTCTCATTGCTGAAACATCTTACTGAGAGGTAACTTGATTTATGTGGTGTGCTCCCCACTAACCTAGTTGTTCCTAAGGTTAGGGCTCTGGTCTGATCTATTGGTAACTGGTCCCTAGGACCTGAACAAGGCTGACACCAAGCAGCATTCAAAAGCTCCCTGATATATTATGGGGAATGAGAGCCTCAACAACCTCTTACATTAGAGGCAGAATAAAATCCCAAACTCATACCTCCACCCACTCAACCCCTTGTACTCTCTTCCCTCAGAAGGTAACCCAGCTGATTCTTTAGAAGCTGGAATTCTAAAAATCATTCATAGTCCTCTTGTCTTATGTTCTTTGGAATATCAACTCATCCAGGCTTCCCTAAACCTGCTCTTCCTCTGGCATCTGCTCCAGCCACCCTTCCAACTTCACACCCTTATTTTCTAAGTGCCTTGGACCATTTCCATTCTGTGAACATGCCATACTCATGTTCTTTCTGCCTGGACTGCCCTTTCCTCTTTTATTTCTCTGGTTAGCAGCTGTTCACCTGTGAAGGTCTAGCTCAGTATGCTCTCCTGCAGACAGATTCAGAGGGTCCTTCTAGGTTCCCAGAACTCCCAGTACTGGATTTCTCCTACTGTGTGTTCCACTCTGTCACAAATTCTGGAGGAGGGGGACATGAAGGGATATTGACACAAAGATGGCCCTCACCTGCTGACATTGCCATGGTAGTGCCGGCCACCATACCCATGGCCACGCCGTTGGTCCTGGGAGCAGCTACAGGTGCCGGGTAGATGGCGGAGGGAATGCTGTTGGGCTGGACGACCGTGGTGTGGTGGATGACATGGGGCTGGGCAGCATACACCGGCTGTGTATAGTAGGCTCCCTGGTGGGGAAGAGGCTGAGGTCACATAGGCTTTTAAAGAGGTGGGATGGGATGTGGAAAGGAGGAGAGGGGGTGGGGAGTCTATTCTTCCCCGACCCTAAGGAATGGGGTCAGAGGAACACTGTCCAGGGATACAGGGTATGGGCTCCAGTTGGGGCTCTACTTCTTACTACACGACTGTGGACAATTCTGTGCTGGATTTCGCTTCTGGTCTGAAAAGTAAGGCTCCCACCCTGTGCTGTCTTGATCCTAGGGCTGCTAGGATGATCTAATGAGGTAACAGCTCTAATTCCTTAACAGTGACATTAGCATTTTAGAATGCTTATATTTCATTGCTCTATAAGCTACCTACAATGAATGAAGAGGACATGGGCACAGCTGGCGAACACCAGAGCACTGTGCACACACGAGGATGACGAGTTGGGAGTGTCACACTGGGGCAGATGCTGCCATTTCACACGCTGGAAGAATGTCATAGATGCGGAGCATTTCCCTAGATGTCTCTTACCACCTATTTCCCTTCAGGAAAAAGGTTGGGGACGAAGACAGTGGTCTGAGGTGACTTCCCCCAGTGCCTGGATCACCTGCTGCCACAGCCCACAGGCCTGGTGACCCTTGTGGGGAGTAGACAGGGGCTCCTGGATCATTTTAATCCAAAGCTTCTCAAATGTTTCTACTAAATAATAAGAGCTTCAGAATGTAGTCTGTAACCCCAGAGGTCTGAAAGCAGAACGCAAAGCAGCCTACCATAAACAAGAGAAATTTTTCTCAAGCCTACCGTTTTTTTTGAAGAGTTTTGCATTCTACTCTACGACAGCTGCTTTTTTAATTTAAAAAGTGTTCTCCTTACTACTTAAACCACATGTAGAATTGTCACTCCAGAAAAATGTGCCATGAGTATGTTAAAGCCTCATACAGTCACTGTCGCACAGCCATCCCCTCAGAGCGCACATACTCTGTAGCTGAAGGAGTAGATGGGGACTAAGGCATGGAGAGAGAAATTTGCCTAAGGTCATACAGGGAACTGGTGGCAGAGCCTGGGCACTTATCTCATCCTCACTCAAGCTCACAGATTTTATCAAGGAAGGGTGGATGTGGGAGGTACGGAGAGATGCCCTAGACATAAGGGGTCTCATCTTGACTCACCCAGTAACTCCTTGGGTGACCTTGGACAAGTTACTCCCCTCTCTGGGTCTCAGATTCCTCACTTATATAAAAAAAGCAGTTCAACTACATGGGCCCTTGCCCCTTGCCCCTCTTGCATTCTGGCTCCATTATCTAAGTGACTTTGTGTGATCCCCCCACCCCCAGGGGCTAAGGTAGAGTGAGGGAATATATAGACTCGAGGGATACTGCTTCAGTGACACAACAGTGACAGCTGCCCAGAGCCATGAGCTCTCCTTTCTATTCTTTCTTACCTGTACCCACCCACCCAGGCTGGTGGCTCCTTTACCTGCAGAAGAGGTGGACCCAGGCTTCCACGTGCACCTACCTGGGCATATAGATTCTGCTGAGGGTAGGCACTTCTGATTGGATACATGGCCGTCTGATAGGGGTTAGGTGATGGGGAGTAGGGGGGTGGAGCAGTATTACTCTGGGTTGGTGGGACCTTGTATGGTGTCCCCGCAGTATATCCTGTACCAAGGCAATAAGAGAGACTTCCAGTTAGTTGGCAGAACAGCATCGCTGGAAAGTAGCAAATTCCAGTCATGACTCCCCAGACAAGAATGGGCTGACTCCAGGCTGGAAACACAGGTGAGAACAGAGAGAGCAGGGCTCTACCCAGAGAGCTCTGGTCCCAAAGGCAGCTCCCTCAGTCCTGGTGCACAGGGCTGCATGTGTGATTCTGGCTTTTTTTTTTTTTTCTTTCTTTTAATCCTCACCCGAGGATATTTTTCCATTGATTTTTAGATAGAGAGGGAGGGAGGGAGGCAGGGAGGGAGGGAGGCAGGGAGAGAGAAACACTGATGTAAGAGAGACACATCAACTAGTTGCCTCCCTCATGACCCCGACTGGGGCCAGGGATTGAACCTACAACCCAGATACTTGCCCTAGACCAGGAATCAAACCCATGACCCTTCAGTCCACGGGCTGATGCTCTCACTGCTGAGCCAAACCGGCCAGGACTGATTCTGGCACTTTTTATTTCTCTAGGTCTCAAGGCTCTCATCTATAAAGTAACTGATGGAGCCAGATGATCTCTTAAGGGACCCTTCCAGCTCAGACAGTCTAGGATTCTGAGCTACATGCCGTGAGAGGCAGGTGCACACAGATGGGAAACCCTCAACCTGCTCGCTCTTTATTGCACTATCTTCCTGCTTTTCTGTCTCCTCACTAAGCACCCAGGGTATCTTCTAATGTTGTTTCTGTCTTTCTTGCTTTCCTCCTTACTCTCCATTTCTTCTTCCCCTTGCATCTCTCTTCGTTCACCATCTTCTCCTTCCTCCCTGCCAAGTTTTAAAGTGAAAACGCCATACAAAACACCATTCAGGGATCCTTATCTTCAGAGATACTAAAAACTTTTTTTTTTTTTTATCCTCACCCGTGGACATTTTTTGATATTTTGTTCAGATAGAGTGAGAGGGGGAGATAGAGAGAGAGAAACATCGACGTGAAAGGGACACATTGAGTGGTTGCCACCCACACGACCCAACCAGGGCCGGGGACAAACTGCAACCGAGGTACGTGCCCCCAGCGGGAACCGAACCCGGGTCTCTCCGGACTGCGGGCCGACGCTCTAACCGCTGAGCCAAACTGGCCAGGGCGAGATACTAAAAACTTTGTTCCACAGAGCTGGTGTTTCCTCTCCTCCTGGGGTGTGGGACAGGGCCACCTCTGCCTGAGGGCCTGAAGTCAGGGATCACAGAGGGTAACATCAATTTGAAACCCAGGCCATGTGCGTCACTCAGCAGGGTAAACAAAAGCTGGGGGGAGGCAGAGAAGTCATACCCCGAGAAACTCACAATCGGTCATTCAAACAAACTGTGCTGCCTTTGACTCTTCTGGAAAACAGATTCAGATTCTGTGTTCACAGAAAGAACTTGAAACATCACTTGGGAACAAGAATCAAGAAATGAATGTACGGAACTCAAAGATCTATACAAGGTCCTGAGGCTCAGAAAAAGCAAGTCTTTATAGGAACTTCTCCTTTCCGAGTTGAAGGGACAGTGCCATATCATCACAAATCTTAGTCCACACCACAGCTCTGGCTTGGTGCCCCTATGTCCCTGATGAGTTGGTAGGATATGGGAGCTGCTGTTTAGTCACCACAAAGGCACTATAAAATGTGTCTTATCTTCTCCCCAGAATCATGTCATTTATCTTTCCACCTGGAGACCTAGTTTGTTCCATGAGAAACCAATTTTGTGGTCAAATACACTTGGGAAATAAGTAACAATGAAGATGGAGTAGAAAGAATATATTAAAGAGAAGGGAGCACTGATAAGAACTAGAAACTAACTAGAAGGGGTGGTGCAAATCAGCTGAGGGAAAAGTTATAGCAGATTCCTCCACATTTCTAGGTGATGGAGCTAATCATGAGATGTGTTCATAGTAGGAGCAGATGCAGTGGGGGAAACGGAGTTTAGGTTTGCAGTCCTCTAGAAGGAGCCATCTGAGGGGACTTCACCTTGGAGAAACAGTTTACGTATCTATAAAACAAAGGGGGTTGGACACATCCCAAGAGTACACAAGGGACTAGGATTCCAAGGGATCTTAAGCATTGTTTTGCAAAAAAGAAAGAAAGGAAGAACGTAGTAGCAATGTAAATAGAGATAAATAGGTTGTTAGTTTTTTTTTTATTCCATGACCCTGAGAAATTTTAAAATGACAAGATGAACTATGAATCTTGAAGATAGGGATATGCAGGAGACTATTCCCAAATTTATTTTACCATAGAACCTTTTATTCATACTATTTACATTTAAACCAAGCAAACTGCAGTTTTTGGTAACTGTAGCCTGTTTTGGTAAATAAAGTTTAACGGTAACACAGCCATGCCTGTTCATGTACATACTGACTATGGCTGCTTTCCTGTTACAGTGGGAGTTATAACAGAGTTCATATGGCCTGAAAAGCCTGAAACATTTATTATCTTGCTGACTCATCATTTAAAACTATAAAATAAGGTATGGGGGAGTCCTGCCAGAGTTCAGAGCCTCTCTCTTTTACAGGAGGGCAGGACACCCTTGAATCCTAAGATGCCTGTCTCTGAAAGCTTTCCAGCAGAGTAGTGGTTATGAGTAGTCGAGAGCCAGACTGACTGCCTAGGTTCAGACCCTAGCCCTGCTACTTAATAGCTATAGAATATATCAGTCTCCTCATGTGTAAAATGGGGTGAGGGTATAATAATGGCACCTATTCATGGGGTTACTGTGATCAATACATTAATAAGTGCAAAGCCCTTAGAATAGTGCCCAATACATTAAAAGCACCTCATAAAAATTAGCTACTATTCCTTCTCTCTCAGTCTATAGAGATATAGTGAGCTTCCTGTCCTGGGGGTGTACAAGCAGAGACTGGTCTGAAAGACTACAGTAGATAGGAGGTTAAACTATGACTTCCATGGTGTGATCCAACTTGAAACATAGACTCCAGGATTCTAATATTCTTAAGTTTTACAGTCTAAAGTGCAATCATTTCATGAGTCTTTAAAGTTAACAAGCCAACAATCCTGGTGACTCTCCTTATGCTCCCTAAGAATGTGCTCTGGAATTTTGATCCCCTGGGGAAGCTTGCATGTCTCCCCCTATGCCATAAGGACAGCCACCTTACAAAGTGTTGAGATCATCCCTCTGAGGAAAACTAAAAGGTTCCAAGAGACTGCAGTAGAATTTGGTTTCCACATCTAAGAATAACCTTGTCTGAGGATGTTTCCCTTTTTTCATGTTATGAAATGAAGATACACACATACTCAGAATACAAATCAGCAGCCAAAACACCCCTGGCAGCCAAAGTGATGCTGCTGCAGAAGACCCTGATTGCTTGTCCAGACAGTCCAAGAGGGAGAAGCAGAAGTGCAGAGCTAGATGAGATCTCAGAGACCATTAGGACCAACACAAATGTCTCACAGGTGAGATAATGAAACATGTTGAGAGTAAGCAACTCCTCACAAGGACCCAGAACTTGGTGCTCCTCCCTCTAACTACAGTGGCTCTCCAGGTTACCACTATTTGTGTCAGGAGGCTGCAGAAACTGCCCTGGGCCCCGTCTGGGAGTCAGGTCAATTCTTTTCTCAAGAAATATCCTCATTTGGATTAGATAGTATCAGAGAGACCTTTCTAGTACTGACATTCAAGTGTCTTGAGTATTTCAATGAAACTTTCATGAAGAAATCAGTGCAGAGGACTTTCCACAATTGACTGGTAGACCCTGTTCATGCCCTTGACGCTCACTGGAAAACCTCTTGGGCTGTAGCCTGGGTTACCTTGAGCATCACAAAATTCAGGGTCATTACTTTATGCATCTAAGTAAAAGAAGCTGTCGGGCTTGATGCATATAAACAAAAATCAAACCCTCATGCATTTTGCTCAAATGAACTTAAGACTCAACTCACTCAAGGGAGGCCTGACTCTCCTTAAAGGAGTTCTACCTAAGTCTGAAGCTCAAAGAGTTAGGTCTTTGGAATGCTATGCCTTATGGACATTACAGACTTGAATTTAATGCTCTCTGTTTCAGATAAAGAACCTAGAACCCAGGGGGGCAGAGAATTCCCCATTGCACAGCAAATCAGTGCAGAGCTGGGCCCAAGCTCTGGGCAGGACTCCTTTCTGAGTTATAGGTCTCTATAAGCCAATCTTGGGCATTTGGATATTAGCCTTTGTGTCATCATTTCACTAAAGGCAATATCGTGAAGAAAAAAAAGGAATCTGACACTAGAAGTCCCAGCTTTGCCTTAAAAGAGACTTTATGATGCCCTGTTCTTTCTCTCAGGTTCCTAACCATAATTTTAGGCTCCATCAAATAGGATAATAAAGAGAGTGTGTATACTAGAAAGGTAAAAACCTTTTCCGCTCTCTCTTCAATCCTTTTGCACTGTCATATCTTTTTGAGTTGTAGAGCCGCTACACCTTCAAAGGCATTGATTGTCACATCAAGGATGCCTTTTAGACTAATTGGTTTATTGACCATTAGATTTATATGTCTGGACAGAGCTCTATGTCTGATTCTTGCCTTGACCCTCAAGTCTCCTTGTTGATAGCTGAACAAGAGAGTGCTGAATAAGTAGGAGGGAGACCTAATTACAAACAGGCTTAGCAAGTGTTGGTGAAATTGAACTGAATTTGTCAAAGTGCCCTGAATTTGCTGTGGCATTAGAAGCCACAAAATCTGTGTGCTGGGAGGAACCCTGATGGGTGTGGGAGGGTCAGTCAATCCCACCTCTATTTAAAAATTACACAGGTTCATACATTATTTGCTTAAAAGAGAGGGGACCGTGACAGCCTGTGAGAGAGCAGTAGGATAAAGCTATTGGGGATTTCAGTGGGTCTGCAGAAAGATTTCACATAGATGGCAAGGTCTTCTAATACTCAGACTTTCTTACTGTGGAAAAGGTTGTCTGGAGGGGATAAGTACCCCATACCTAGAGGTGTGTGAGCAATGGCTCGTTGGCCAACTACTGGTCAGAACAGCTAGGGAGGACATTCCTGCTGGAGTGGAGAATACCAAGTGTGAAAGAGTCACTAGTCTAATAGCTAGAGAGAAACTTGAAGATCTAGTCTAGCCCCCTTGTTTTTCAGTTGGAAAAACCAAGGTCCAAAGCATGGTAATGAATTGTCCAAGGTTACACACAACCAAGTCTAGAATCTAATACTTTTGGTCTTCCACTCCAGGCCTCTTTCTGCTGCACTACAGATGTGTCTATAAGCATCTATATCCATATGTGTAGATATAAGAGAGAATATGTAAGTATATGCCCATTTACATATATAATGCTATGGGTATCTGGAAAAACTTCCTACTGCTGCCATCCCTCTCTTAAAGAATACAATTACTGTCATGAAAAAAGACAGTAATAGTGCCCTGCCCAGGTGGCTCAGTTGGTTGGAGCATCATCCCATACACCAAAAGGTTGCAGGTTCAATTCCCGGTCAGGGCACACATCTAGGTTGCAGGTTCAATCCCTGGTCAGGGTGCATGCAGGAGGGAATTGAATGATGTTCCTGTTTCTCTCTCTCTCTCTCAAATCAATAAACATATACCGGGTAAGGATAAAAAGAAAAAAAGAAAAAGACAGTAATAGCAACTTAACCTGGGTGATACCTTTTTCTAGTTCTGCTGCTTACTAGTTGGATGGCAACAGGTGTGTTACCTTGCTGAGCCTCAGCTTTCAAACTGCAATAAAAATCCACCCAAATAATAGGACTACAGTGTAGATTAAATGAGAGGGTGATTATAAAAGCACAGTCTCCAAAAGGTGAGAGTTATGTTATATATGAACATAAGTTAATATTGCCATCTAGGAGCAATGATAACTAAGAAGAAATAACACTGGGTATTTTAAAGAAAAAAAACATACCATGTATTCCCCTGATCTACTTACTTAATAGATTAATAATCCACTGAATCACAAACTGTGGGGCCTAGTCTGCCACTTCCCACCCAGTGCTTGTCCAGCCTCCTACTGGAACAATTTTAGAGATAGGCACTCACCACATCCAAAGCCAACCACTCCTCTTTTGGACAGTACCAACAAGGTATAATGTTTTCACTTATAGAGTCAAAATGCCACTCAGTAATTTCTAAACTTTGGTCCTCACTTTACCCAGGGGAGCCATTTTGTGTTAAAAATCAGATGTGAAGGTACAAAAAAACAGTCACCTCATTGAGCCTCAAGATGAGTGTGACCAATCTGACTGGCCAGATGGTTTCTTTCCTCCCTGAAGACTCCATGTACATACTTTGCTTCCACAGTGCAGCTTCCACGAGGGCAGTATTTCTCATACGGGACAATGTGGCCTCCCAGGGGATATTGAGCAACGTTTGGAGTCATTTTTGATTGCCATAAGAAGGGTTCACTACTGACATCTAGTGGGAAGAGGCCAGGGATGCTGCCCAGCATCCTATAATGCACAGGACACGCCCATAAGAATGGTCTGATTCAGATGTCCATAGTGCCAAGGTTGAAAAAACCCTGTGCTAGCTGGAGAAGCCCTCTCTATCTAAAGGTCCACAGGCAGGTGTTCAAATGTCCCCTCTGTCCTTTCCCTTGAAATGTGGTAACAGTCCTTCCCTCATCAAACTTGTTGGCCAGATGAGCACTTCTTTTTTTTCCCTCCCTCACTGCTTTGTGTTTCCCCAAAGCTGGTTACCTAATCTAAGAGGATGACCTTTCCTGTGTGAGGAGAGCCAATTTTTTTGCATGGGTAAGAGAACCTCCTAAAATAGTATCTTATAAATGTCACTTTTTAAAGTTTCCCTTCCTCTCTTCCTAAGAGACAAATCAGTCCCAACCAAGGGGAACAGGAAAGGAGGAGACAGGCTGTATTTACTGAAAGCCGCAGAGGATGCTTGGTAAGTTCGGTTCTCGGTCCCGGTGTCCACTGGGAGGTGGAAGGTGCCTTCAGTGCCACAGGAAGACGAGTTCTGTGGCCAGGCCTGTTTCATCAGCAGAGTTGCTTAAGGGAAGACATAAGAATGGCATTAGGCAGAAATAAGAAGTGGGCACCACCAATCACAGACACAATGTAAGGGTCTTGGGCTGGACGGAAACATAACTCAAGGGGCCCTGTTCAGACACACAGGACAGTTCAGCCTTTCTGAGTTGGGTGGGTGGTTGAAAGGAGTGCTGAAGTGAGCTTCCAAATTATTTGAAACATAGGAAATCTGAGCTTATACTAAATAAAGAGAGTCAGAATTTTCTACCCACTACTAAAACCATGAAGATGCCTGTGAGTACTGCCTCCTCCTGTGTGGCACTCTGGCCGAAGGCTCTGGACTATTTCTTAGCCACTTTCTTATGAATGTATGGCAACTTGGAGCCTTTGACTATGTATTGGGCCAGATTAACTGAGTATTCCTGTTTTATGCCTGAAATCTCATCTAGGGGTGTATTTAATCAGTTGTGTTCAAAGAGAGATCCCAAAATAATTACCACATGACACGAACCTTGCTGGACTGCCATCTCTTCTAAAGGGACTAAGCTTTGGCAGCTTAGAGAGCCCGCATTGGCCAGGGCACTCCCTACTAATTCCTCCTGTATACCCAGCTGGGGCCAGACAGACAAACCGCTTACACACCTTTATACCTCCTGCTGAGGTGCTACTGGTGCCTCCCTTACTCTGAGATCACGTTATGAATTATAGATTTTTTCGCCATTAAGAAAGTAAATGTCAAACCTGAGGTAGGTGTGAAATAGAGATGAGGCCCAGTTTGAAAGAAATCTACAGAGACTTCCCAGGCTGACTCAAAGCTCAGCTTGAAAAATTTGAAGGATGCTTCATATGTTCTAGAAGTGGGAATAACTCAAAAAACAAAAACAAACAAACAAAAAAAACTTACCTTCATGGTATCCTGTGGGGAAGGAGAGAGGAAATAGGGTTTCAAAGGGGGGAAATGCCTAACATTTTAGATATTTCCCTTGATATACTTTCAAACACTAGTGGAGAAACATTCTTGACACAAATTGCTACTAAGAGTAAAAAGAATGATTTTAAGGTATCTTTTCTATTCAAATAAGGTCTTGGAAGTCATGGATAACTGGTGTTTTAGTATTAGCGTATATTAGAAGGAGGGGTGCTGCATTGGCAACAGTCCCATATACTTGAAACATTTTAACAAGGGGCTAAGGTAAGACAGGATATTATGAGAAGAAAGTGTGCCTATAAACTCAATTTCACCAAGATAAGGATAGTCCACCTCCAGAAGGATCCCATAACCCCTGCCTGTCCGAGTAATAGGTAATGCATCTAGTTCCTTCAGTCATGAAGGTATAGGGCCCAGAAAACGAAGTCAAGGACTGTTGTTTTTGCTGATCCACGGCTAGAAATGTAACTGTTATGGGCTGACCCTGAGCTTGCATTAATGGCCCACAATATATACATAGTGGATGCTGAGAAATGAGAAGAAAATCATGGGCAGGGAAGTGACACTAAAAGGAGAATTCTGACAGAAGTAATGGAGACCCAGCAGAATTCCATGCAGAGTCCAGGACCTCTGCTGTACATCAAGACATGACTCTGCAGACAATGCAGGATGAGGGCAGTCAGTTTTAAACAATTATCTTGGATTTCTTTTTCCAGGATGGGGGTGAGTTGGGGTTGGGGATTAATAAAGGATCCAATTAGTGTTGAAAAATCTTATCAAGATGTCTCCAAATTTAGAACCTGCCACTCCATGTGGCTGGATAGCCTTGCCCACTCAAAACTAAAAAGTGAAACATGTAGCTCTGAGAAGTCAGAGCAAATCCATGCCCTCAAGACCCCACAGGGACTTGCAGGAGGCCTGAATTTGGCTGCAGAGAATTTGGAGAATTTGGAGGTCCAGTTCTGGTCCAGCTGTTTCCCCAGCTGGTGAATACTTGACCATAATTTTTTCATAAGCCAAAGTTTGACATTAGCCTGAAGGACTGTGTGACAAAGTAAATAAATCAAAATTAACCAAAGAGTGACTGAGGCCTACTGCACTCAGCACTGAGGGGAGCGCCACGGTGGAGAGGAACACACGTGGGTCATGGTCACCACACACAAGGTACTTATGGTCTAGCTGGGGATGCAACACAGCCACACGCCAACCAGAGAGTGAACAAGACAGCATTATACACAGTAAATAATGTTCCAGATTAACCAGAAAAGAAGCAAGTGTGACTGTGCCTTTGATTGTATCTTTTCCAAGTGAACTAAACTATACATGTCCCTGAAGAAGTGAATATCTTCTTCCAGTTTCATTATAAAGAAAACAAATATTAGTATTTTCTATATTTCTTTATATTTTTAAATACTTAATAATTTAAATAACTGGGTAAATAGGAAGACTAAAAACAAAAAAAGGATATCAGCTATCAACTTGACTTCCTCATTAGTTAGTTGTACCATATGATCTTCCTCCTCGTACAATTCTGAAGTAACCCATTCCGTTGGTGGTAGTGATTCAGAGCTCAGTTGTGGGATGAAGACAATCCAAATGAATCTTTCAGAGGCATGGTAACAGAGGAGGTTGCTTTGACAGGCAAGTTTACTCTTGGGTGCCATGAAAGGCACCAACTGCTAGAGATGTTTCTATATTTTGAACTGGGTAGTAGTTAAATACAAGTGTATACATATGTCAAATATTATTGAGCTGTACATTTGAGATTGTGGACTGTATCTACTGTAGTATATGTGTTATTCCTCAATTTTAAAAGGAGAGAGAGAGAGAGAGAGAGAGAGAGAGAGAGAGAGAGAGAAAGAGACACCCTTGGCAGTGAAGGGCCATGGCCCAGTCACAGCATGCTGCCCACATCCAGGTGCTGGGTTGTTCACTTCCCTGGATACGGGGCCCTCGCGCCCTCCGACACTTGAACAGTCTGTTAAGCACACTTACAAGGAGGAGAGGCAGCAAGGGACCATCATCCTGAACAATGTAGTAAGTTAGGAAATCTGAATTCAAGCCTGGGCTGTGCCACTTATTAACTGTGAGACCTTGGGCAAGTCACAACCTTCTAAACTTCAGTTTTGTTGTCTCATAAAATGGCAGTAATGATGACTCCCTGATGACTTCATTGTATTAATGTGAGGATCAAAAATAAAGTGATACAGCCCTGGCCGGTATGGCTCAGTTAGTTAGGCATTGTCCCATGCACCAAAAGGTTGACGGTTAGAATTTCGGTTGGAGTACACATCCAAGATGCAGGCTTGATCCCCAGCAGAGGGTGTGCAGGAGGCAGCCAATCTATGCTTTGCTCTCACATTGATTTTTTCCTTTCTCTCCCTCTCCCTTCCTCTCTCTCTATAAATGAACTTTTTAAAAATAAAATAAAATGTCACCCAGTCTTACAGTTTCTAATCCTGGTATCTGTCTACTCTTCCATTTCACAGTCATGGACAGCTCTAATTGAAGCTCTCATCATCTCTCACCTGAACTACTGCAACTGCTTCCTCGCTGTTCTGTTTGTTTTTAAACCTGCCAACTGTAATCTCCAAGCCGCACTCAGAATGCTATTTCTAAGACCTAAACCTAATCACAAAACCTTTCTTAAAAACATTCCACGGGCCCTGGCCGGTTTGGCTCAGCAGTTAGAGCGTTGGCTTGCGGTCCTGAGAGACCTGGGTTTGGTTCCCGCTAAGGGCATGTACCTTGGTTGCAGTTTGTCCCCGGCCCTGGTTGGGTTGTGCGGGTGGCAGCCACTAGATGTGTCCCTTCACATCGATGTTTCTCTCTCTCTCTCTTCCTCTCTCTCCCTCCTGCTCTATCTGAACAAAAAATGGAAAAATGTCCTCGGGTGAGGATAAAAAAACAAAACAAAAACATTCCACGGTTGTCCACTGCCTATAGACTGAAGGCAGAAATCCTTGTGTGGCATTTAAGGCCGCCTGTAATCTAGTCCTATAATCTCTCTAGACTTTGTTATTCTCACTCTCCAACCTTGTACCACCACACAAACTGCCATTCCCAGAATATGCCAAGAAATGTCACATCTCTGTATTTTTGCTGACAATGCTCACTCTTCCTGATTCAGTTTTCCCCCAAATGCTACCTGGTAAACATTTATTAATTCATCAATTGTGAGCTGAAGACTCATCTATCTCTACTACGAAGTCTTTTCTTTTCCCTCCCCTTGACTACAGCGCCCTTATAGATCCCATATGGTTCACTATCCCAGTCCCTGTCATTCTTAGAAGTTGCCTTCTCTGTCTCTCCCACTAAACTATGAGCTCCTTGAGAACAGGGACCCTCTGTGTCTTACTGGTCTTTCTGTCTTCAAAGGGCCAGCTTAGGGCCTGGCACAGAACTGTGGATGCTATAACTGGAGGGATGAGGAAGCATGAGAGCTTCTCTCACTTTTCATTGAGTCTTCTGTCCAAGTTCATACATCCTGAGGCAAACAACAAATGACTCCCCATAAAGGACAGGAGAAACAAGTCTGTAACCAGCAAAATTGAAATAATAAAATTTTAAGAGGACAAGCTGTTAGCATTTAAAGGGACCTCAGAGATCATCTGGAATAAAACACATTATCTATGGCCTGGAGACATTAGCAAATTGCCCAAGATCACACAGCCCACAGCAGCGGCAAAGAAAAATTTTCACAGCTCATCTCCTGAAAGATGCGCCACACACAAATTCAATATTCAGCATCCAAATAATTCAAGGGTAAAAATTGAGAAGATGTGCAGAGATTTTACGAAAACACTGTTCTGAGCAGCCCAGGTGAGGGTGGTGAAAGTGGCAAGTCCCTCCCATGGTCCCTTCCTGTCTATGACAAAAAGGACCTAGTCAGTTACACTGCTGGGACCCTCACAGGTGCCCAGAAGTTCCTGTGGTGCCTTGGGCCTGGAGTCCACACTGCCCAGAGAACCCAGCTCTGGTTCCTCACTCGTTTTGGCACACTTGACCCTCACCTCTCTCCATCCAGGAAAATGCCCTGAAAATATCCAGAGCTCAAGATCTGGGCTAAGGAAACAGACTGTATCTGAAGTCAACCAGTTCTTCAAACATGTCAGACTGCCGATGGAAATGAAGAATCTGATCCAGGGGCAGACTAGTTTGGTTTTTTTGTTTTTTTGTTTTTGTTCTTATAGGCATAATCCAGGTAGTCACTCCTTCAAGGGGCTGCTACAAAGCCAAGAGAGGAGCTATACCAGCCCAATAATTTTTGTTTCACTTGTTTGAATTCAGCATCCAGGTTAGGGTGAAGGTTTCTGATCTAGGTCAAATGGGACTCCGGAGGTGAGGAAGGGGAGATATGCCTTTTAGTGCCATGATCCTTCACTGCTGCCCTAGGGGATGGTTCATGTGTGTCTCCAACCCATGATTTTGCACCATCAGACATGTTCCTGCATGCTTTAGGAACTGCTGCTGAGCCACCTGGGGGAGCCCAAGCCTAGGGGATGGGATTTGGGGAGGAAAGGAGAGGGGATCTACCGTTGTTACGAGATAACACATTCATAGGCCATAATACATATGAGGAAAAATAGCTTTCCTACCATAAGCTGAATGCAGGAACTGAAACTCTGTTGGATAGAAACGTTAGTTGAAATTACCACTAAGAATTTGTGCAAAGTAGTACACATTGCAGTTACAAAAACAGACTTTGACTCAAGTTAGCAGTCTACCCCAAGCTACACAAGAAACAGAGAATGCAGAGGGGAGTGACAGACTTGCCATCCAGAAGAGCCCAGTCATTGAGGGGCACCTCCTTGGATGCCATGGCATCTTCCAGACAGCTGACCCAGAAGCTGCCTGGATGTGAACAAGCCCGAGGTCTGCTCTTTGATTGTCCATGCTAAGAATAAATTTCAATTCTCCCAAGCACAGAGGGACTTCACACATGACAGAGACTTTATGTGCTAGTGGACATGAAGGTTCAGGGACAAAATCATTATTTTGGCCTCAAGAGCTCTCTATAAAGCCCCAGAGAGCTAAGACCAATGCAAAGGCACTCATTCCCTGAGGTCTCTGGGAAAATGTGGTGCAGTAGAAGGAGCACAGGTTCTGGGCTCAGACGGGTTGGGTTTGAATCCCAGCTACACTGCTTTTTAACTGAGCAACTTTGGACAAGTTATTTAACTCGCTGAGCAAAACTGGACAAAATGAACATTTGTGACATGCCTCACAAAGCCTGGAAGACAGCAGGTGTTCAGAAAACACAAACCCTTTTCTCTGCTTTTCCTTAGGATCATCATATGTCAAAAGGGAATAATACATTTTCACTTTACCAGGCTGCTATGAAATCAAGTGAGATAATAGATGAAAATGATTTATAAACAGATTTCTTGTGAGACAGTATTTCATTCTTATCTATATTAGTTATACTACTTATCCTTTCTTTTCTTTTTTTGAGAGAGAGAAAGGGAGAGAGAGATAGAAATATCCATGTGAGAGAGATACATTCATAAACTACCTCCTGTACGCCCCCAACTGGGGATCAAGCCCACAACCTGGGCATGTACCCTGACTGGGAATCGAACCAGGACCTCTCAGTCCATTGGACAACGCTCAATCCACTGAGCCACACTAGCGGGGCCTTTCCTTTCATTTTCAAGTCAGATAACCATTGACACATCCTTTGGTCTCCAGATTCTAAAAATAAATCTCAGTTGGCTCCTGCCTCTTGGTAGGGGGGCAAATAGTTCTTAAATAAGATCCATGAAGTCATTAAGAGTTTGGGGAAAAGCTCCAAGTACCTACATTGCCTTCAGAACCACTGAAATGTTTCCCTGCATCCTGGACAGATGACATATTAGGGTACTCAGAGCTGCTAAAAATAGCTCTTTCTGAAGCAACTTCCTGGTTTCCTTGAAGAAGCTGAGAGAAATAAACCCGAGAGCCTGGCTCCTTTGTAGGTTTCTACCCCGCAGGCAACTCTCGGCATCAAAAGTGGCTGGCTCTGGCAGGAAACTGAAGTAACCTACACTGTCCTCTCTGTCCTTGAGTCAGTTCCTCTATAGCAGGAGCTCTCCTACTGCAGTCAGGAGACCTGGTGAATGCTGATGTCAGTCTCCCATACATAAAACACATCAGGGGTGCATGTACTAGAACCCAACTCCCAGCTTGAAGCTTTCTAACACAATGAGCTAGTCCCACTCTCTCTAATGGATTTTGTGGGTTTATGAGAAAATAGTTTGGGTTGGTTTAGTCACAGCTTAGAAATCTGTTGATTTTCCAAAATACAAAATTGAGGAAAATCAAGTTTGATGAGGGCTGATACTTTGTTTTAAAATTAAAGCTTAATCAGTACTTTATACATTTCAGGAGCTTTCCAATTTCTACCCCCCCGCCCCCAGTCGCAGCCCCCACCTGTCTGATCTCCCTTCTCTCTCTGGTCTGGTTGCTCTTGTCTAATTCCTCAATTTCTCTCTGGCCAGCTCCAAGTATAATGTCCTGGTGAAGAGCTCATGCATGTGTGGTGGCAGGATCCCTAACTTCTAAAGTTTTTGTTTTCCTGGTTGGAAAATGGAAGTAACAACAGTACTGACCTCAAAGGTTTGTTGTAATATGAAACAAGTTAATATCCACAAAGAGCTTAAAATAGTCCCTAACACACAGTAACCATTTGACAAATATTAGCTATTTATTCCCCATCCTCTACTTTCTTGCCAAACTAATCCTAAAATAATTCCACAATCTCTTACCAGAAGTTCTGAACATCATGAGAAAATATCCCAGGGCTGGGGAATAGTCTTGACAAATTCACGTCCTCCACCCTCAGGTGGGCCTCCAAATGTTACACACCTCCTCCTCCTTCTCCCTCAAGTCTCAATTGCTAGACCCTCTGTGAAACCTTCCCTACACTTTTCATCTCAGGCAGACTGTTGTTCCTGCCTCTGCTTCCTCTCCTCTTATATGTATTCCTTCTACAATACTCATCACACATGCACAGCTATGAATTTGTTTATATGCCAGCTTCCAAATGGACTGTCAACTACTGAGGCAAAGACCAGCACCCTTTCTTTTTTTATATCCCAGTGTAGAAGGCATTCAACAAATAAATTTTTGCTGAGTAAATGAAGAGGAACTTACATAAAACCTGAGGTAGGTAGCACATTTCTCAGTGACATGAGGTAACTTGTCCAAGGCCTCACAACTAGTGAGTTATCAGGATTCAAACCCAGGACTAACTGCAGAACCCATACTCCTTCTCCTGCCCCTTGAGCATGGGTACTAAGATCAGTGAGGAGATCTCTGCACAGCTCTTAGCCCAAATTAGAACAAACTTTTTCAACATTTCCAAACCTATTTTTACATCTATAGAAGGAGTGTTGGGTCTTTATTATTTTTGAAAGAGAAGTTCTTTGCCTCGGCTTGAAAACCAGCTCTTTATCCTCTGATGGCAAGTCTCTCACTCTCTTCCAAATCCATACCCAGAAAGTCAAGTGTGCGTGTGTGTGTGGCATGTGAGAGAAAGTGTGTGTGTGTTAGAGTATGTATGTGTATGTGAGAGTTGTGTGAATGTTAGTGTGTATGAGTATGTGTGGAAAAGAGAGTGAGTGTGAGAAAGTATGAGTGTGTGTGAGACTGAGAGTGTGATATGTGTGTGAGTGTGTGTATGAGTGAGAGTGTGTGTGTGTGGAAACTATGTGAGCGAGTGTGGGTGGGGGAGAAAGTGTGAAAGTGTGACAGTGTGCGTATGTATGTGTGAGAGAGTGTGAGAGTGTGTGTGTGGAAACTCTGAGAGAGAGTGATGTGAGAGTGTTTGTGTGTGTGTGTGGGAGAGAGTGTGAGAGCATGAGTGTGTGTTAGTGTGTATGAGAGTATAAGAGTGTGTGTGTGTGTGTGTGTGTGTGTGTGTATATGTTTCTCAATGATACCCTTAGAGACAACTGAGCAAAGAATGGATTTGGACATTGTATGAGAGAGCAGAAAGGTTCTGTGAGGAGAATGCATGTCTCAGACATTCCAATATGGAGGAGCTTCTACTCCTGCCGCCACCCTAAGGCTGAACTGCCCCAGTTCCCAGAGGGAACTCCCAGGAAAATCACACTTAGACAAGTTGAGCCCAGAGCAATTAAGAACAGGGAAAGGCCAGCAGGTAGGTTTGTTTCTCCAAATAGATCCCACCTTCCACCCCACTGACCACTACTATCTCCACTTTCTCCTTACCTGGAGCATAACTGGGGCTATTGGTGGGATACAGGCTAGGATTGTAGGCAGGGGCTGCGGCCGGGTAGGCTGTGGGATAACCTATGAAGAGATAAGAAAAGCTCCACTTAGTTGGGCAAGAAGAAGAGCAAATTTCTGAGGAAACAGAATCCAGGTCCTAGGCTTGGGTTTCAATCTCTTCATGGGCCATTTCAGACAATATATGTGACTAACGTTTACTCTCTCAAGAGAAAAGCCACCAATACCACAATCCCAACATATGCAGATTTTCCTGTCCATTTTTAAAAAACCAGTACAAGAAATATATGCTCACTGTAAAAATACTAAAACCGTATAGAAATGTATATGATAAAGTATAGTTTACTTTTACATACCTGCTGCAACATTCTTCTCCCTAGAGGTAAAAACAATTTGGCACCTATGTTCCAGATATTTTTCTATGTAATTGGGGGGGGGGGGGGTAATCCTCATTTGAGGATATTTTTTCATTGATTTTTCTTTTTTAGATAGAGTGCAGGGAGGGAGGGAGAGAAAAAGGGGGGGGGCATCGATATGAGAGAAATACATTGATTGGTTGCCTCCTGCACGACACTGACCAAGGCCAGGATGGAACCTGCAACCCAGGTACATGCCATTGACCAGGAATCAAACCTGCAGCCCTTTGGTCCACATGCTGACACTCTAACCGTTGAGCCAAACCAGCCAGGGCTCTGTGTATTTTTTTTTTTTTTTATCCTCACTCGAGGACATTTTTCAATTTTTTGTTCCAGTAGAGTGGGAGGGAGAGAGGAACAGAGAGAGAGAGAGAAACATCGACGTGAAAGGAACACATCGAGTGGCTGCCACCCGCACAACCGACCAGGGCCGGGGACAAGCTGCAACCGAGGTACACGCCCCTAGCGGGAACCGAAACCGGGTCTCTCTGGACCGCAGGCCGACGCTCTAACCGCTGAACCAAACAGGCCAGGGCTCTGTGTATTTTTATATACATATATTCAGTGGTGCACTGGTAAATACTTGACAACTAGACTTGAGGGGACTATTTTGTAGCATTTGCTAAATTCCATTGTGTAAATATTCCCACTTTGGCCAATTTCTTTCTTTCTTTTTTTTTATCCTCACCCAAGGACATTTTTCCACTTTTTTTGTTCAGATAGAGTAGGAGAGAGAGAGAGAGAGAAACATCGACATGAAAGGGACACATCGAGTGGCTGCCACCCGCACGACCCAACCAGGGCCCAGGGCCAGGGACAAACTGCAACCAAGGTACGTGCCCTTAGCGGGAACCGCACCCAGGTCTCTCTGGACTGCAGGCTGACGCTCTAACTGCTGAGCCAAACCGGCCAGGGCACTTTGGTCAGTTTCAAGCTACCAACATCACTGAATGAATAGCTGGGAAGAGATTCTCACAAATGGCTCTAGAGAACCCATATACTCCAGATCCAGCCCAGCACTGTATAGTTTACATAGGTGTTTTGTTTTGTTTTTGAAAACTTTTATTGTGGCAAAATATATATAACAAAATCAGTGATTTTAACCATTTTAAGTGTACAATTCAGTGGCATTAACTACATTCACAATGTTGTACAACCATCTCCACTATGTGTTTCTAAAACTTTTCATCACCCCCAAACAGAAACTGTACCCATTAAGCAGTAACTTGCCATTCCCTCTCCTTGTAGCCCTTTTATTAACCTCTAATCTACTTTCTGTCTCCATAAGCAAAATCAAACACTATTTGTCTTTTTGTATCTGGCTTCTTTCACTTTGCATATTTTCAAGGTTCATCTCTTGTTGTAGCATGGATCTGAACTCCACTCCTTTTTATGGCTGAATAATAGTCCACTCTAAATATATGCTACATTTTGTTTATCCATTCATGTTGATAGACACATGATTTTTTTCTGCCTTTTGGCTATCGTGAACAATGTAGCTATGAACACTGGGATTCAAGTCCTTGTTTGAGTTCTGATTTCAAGTCTTTTGGGTATATGCCAAGGAGCAGAATTGCTGGATCACAGGATAATTATATGTTTAGCTTTTCTGAGGAACCATCAAACTATTTTTCACAGTGGCTATACAATTTTACATTCCTACAAGCAGTACATGAGGTTTCCAATTTTTCTCCACATCCTCATCAACACTTGTTATTTTTATTACTGACATCCTAGTAGGTATAAAATGATATTTCATTGTGGCTTTGATTTATATTTCTCTAATGCTTAATGATGTTAAGCATCTTTTCACACATTTACTGGCACTTGTATATCTCCTTTGGAGAAATATCTGTTCAAAACATTTGCCCATTTTTAAATTGAGTTGTTTTTGTTAATAAATTATAAGCAGTTTTTGTTATATATTCTGGGTAGCAAACTCTTATCAAATACATAATTTGTAAATATTTTCTCCCACTCAATGGGTTGTCTTTTCACTTTCTTTTTTAATCCTCACTTGAGGACATTTTTGCATTTATCTTCAGATAGAGCGAGAGAGAGAGGGAGGACGAGAGAGAGACACATCGACTGGTTGCCACCCACACGACCCCAACAGGGGCCGGGGACAAACTGCAACCAAGGTACATGCCCTTAGCAGGAACTGAACCAAGAACTCTCTGGTCCACGAGCCGATGCTTTAACCACTGAGCCAAACCAGCCTAGGCATCTTTCTTTACACTGTCTTTGATGGAAAAACAATTAATTCAGATGAAATCCAATTTATCATTTTTCCTTTTTGTGCTCACGTTTTTGGTGTTATATCTAAGAATCTATTGCCAAATTCAAGGTCATGAAGATTTACTCTTATGTTTCTTCAAAGAGTTTTATGGTTTGGGGTCTTATATTTAAATCACTGATCCATTTTTTTTATATGGTGTGAGGTTAGAGATATATACAGTTTTATATTCTACCTTCTAACAGTTTAACATTATATGTATTTTCCCATGTAATTACACACTTTTTTTTTCCTTTGATTTTTTTTTTTTTAGAGAGAGAGGAAGGGAGAGGGAGAGAGACAGAAATATCAATGAATAAGAGCATCAACTGGCCACCTCCTGCATGTTCCCCAGTGGGGATTTGGCCCACAACCTGAGCATGTGCCCTGACTGGGAATTGAACCAGCAACCTCTTGTTCATGGGTCGATGCTCTAAAACTAAACCACACCAACCGGGCTAATTACACACTTTTCAAAACATTTTAATTATCTTCGTAATATTCCATTATGTAGCTATATCAAATGATTTAACTATTACTCTATTTTTAGATGTTTAGGCTGTTTACAAATTTTCTTTATCATAAATAAGATATGAGAACAGCCCTGGCCGATTTGGCTTAGTGGTTAAAGCATCGGCCCATGGACTAGAGAGTCCTGGGTTCGGTTCCCGCTAAGGGCACATACATCGGTTGCAGTTCGTCCCTGGCCCCGGTTGAGGTCGTGCAGGTGGCAACTAGTAGATGTGTCTCTCTCACATCGATGTTTCTCTCTCTCTCTCCCCCTCCCTCCCTCCCACTCTGTCTGAAGATACATGTAAAAATATCCTCGGGTGAGGATAAAAAAAAAAAGATATGAGAACAACCTAAATAAATCTTCCAGTGTATCTCTGATTATTTCTTTAGGAACCAGTTCTAAAATGAGATTTCTAGATCAAAAGACAGTGCTATTTTGTTGTTAATCCTCACCTGAGCACATTCTTCCATTGATTTTTAGAGTGGAAAGGAGGGACGGGGAGAAAGAGAAACATCGATGTGAAAGAGACATATCAATTGGTTGCCTCCTGTAACCAAGGCCAGGAATTGAACCCATAACTCAGGTATGTGTCCTTGACCAGGAATCGAACCTACGACCCTTTGGTACGAGGGCCCATACTCTAACCACTGAGGTGAACTGGTCAGGGCGACAGTGCTACTTTTTCTTTATACTTAAAAAAAATACATATGTTTTTATTGATTTTTTAGAGAGAAAAACATTGATATGAGAGAGAAACATTGATCAGCTGCCTCCTGCATACTCCCTACTGGGGATCGAGCCTGAAACATGGGCTCAATGTGCCCTGACCGGGAATCGAATTGGGACCTCAGGGTCCATGGATGATGCTCAATCCACTGAGCCATACTGGCCCAGCGACAGTGCTACTTTTAAAGCTCATTCATTCAACAAATATCTTAGTATCTACTCTGTGCCAGACATGATGATCCCTGCCCTTGTGGAGCTTAGACTCTAAGAAGGTGTGAGAAGCAGTGGATAAATAGTAAATATAAGCAAACACAGTCTTAAGTGATATGGAAAAGAGTTTAAGGTAGGGTAAAGGACACCAGAAGTGCCACAGTGCTGTGGGTGGGGGTGGGCATTGCAATATTAAATAGGGTAACCAGCATAAGACATATTGGGACGGTAAGCTTTTTAAGAATATTTAAAGGAAACAGAGTTAACCAAGCAGATGGCTAAAAGGAGAGCATTGCAAAGGAAACAGCCCATGCAAAGGCCCTATGTTCTGAGCATATAGGACATGTCTGAGAAACAGCATGGGGGCCAGTGTGGCTGAAATGAAATATCCAAGGGGAACAGTACAAATAGAAGTCAAAGATAAAGGGTTGGTCAGTTCATGTAGGGCCTTATAGGCTATTGTAAAAACTTCGATTTTTCACTGAGTGAAATGAGAAGCCATCATGGGGTTTGAGCAGAATAACAACATGATCTGACTTATGTTTGAAAAGGGTCATTCTGAGTGCTGTGTTGAAAACAGACTATAAGAGGGGAAGGGTAGCCCTGGCCTGTTCGGCTCAGCAGTGAGAGCATTAGCCCGCAGACCAAAGAATTGGTTGTGGTTCGTCCCCAGCCCTGGTCAGGGTCGTGTGGGAGGCAACCAATGATGTGTCTCTCTCACATGGATGTTTCTCTCTCTATCCCCTTCTAACCGAAGATAAATAGAAAAATATCCTTGGGTGAAGATTAAAAAAAGGGGGGGAGGGTAAAGAAACAGAGGTTATTGTTAACTTCTGTGGTCAACAGATGACGTGGTTAAGAACAGGGCCATCACAGAAAAGGTGAAGAGAAGTGACATGCTAAGACACATACTTTGCCACAC